GTAAGTAATCTTGTGAGTTTGTAAAGAACGTGTTTAAATCGTGCACTACATCCTGTGCGTCATCTTGTGCGTCATCTTGTGTGACATCTTGTGTGAAATCTTGTGTGTCCTCTTGTGGGTCATCTTGTGGGTCATCTTGTGGGTCATCCTGTGGGTCATCTTGTGGGTCATCCTGTGGGTCATCCTGTGGGTCATCCTGTGGGTCATCCTGTGGGTCATCCTGTGGGTCATCCTGTGGGTCATCTTGTGGGTCATCTTGTGGGTCATCTTGTGGATCGTCTTGTGGGTCGTCTTGTGGATCGTCTTGTGGGTCGTCTTGTGGGTCGTCTTGTGGGTCGTCTTGTGGGTCGTCTTGTGGGTCATCTTGTTGGTCATCTTGTGAGTTATCTTGTGAGTTATCTTGTGAGTAATCTTGTGGGAAATCTTGTGGGTAATCTTGTGAAAAATTTTGTGGGTAATTTTGTGGGTAGTTTTGTGGGTAATTTTGTGGGTAATATTGTGGGTAATATTGTGGGTAATATTGTGGGTAATATTGTGGGTAATCTTGCGAGTTAGAATACAATATATTTGTATATAACATTTCCGGAGATGATCCGGAGTGTTCAAAGCATTGTGGTGGCAGAGTCCAAAAATTTATACAGTTAGCATCCTGTAAACGATTGTTTTTAAGATTTTGTTTTTTTTTATGAGGTTGGTATTGGTAAGTTGGAAACATCTCCTTGTGTTTTTTAAGGGCCTTGCTTTCCAAATATCTAAAAAATATCCTCACTGAGGGTGGTTGCTCACCCCACTCTTGGGAAGCTAAAGTTGAAATCTCTTTTGCAATTATTTTTTTGCCTTGGTGGAGTGACCGATATTTGGCTTCGAAGTCTTTGCGAAACAGAAGGAAGCTATTTTGGGGCCTTGGTGGTTCGTTCGAACGGCGGCGGGAATTTGCTGCTGGGTAAATTAATTCATCGATGTCTAGTGTCAATTCATAGGGAGTGGGAGCAAGTACAACGACAGGATGCTGCCGTTCGTCATTGGTTACGTACTCATTTTGGAATGAGACACTTTCTGTACGAAACCGAGTGCTCGGCCCAGATACGTTTGGGGTGATGTTGGAAACAAATCGAATGCCGCGGAACTTAGACTTATTCGCCTTTTTCATAATGACCGTTTTTTAAGATAACATTCCTTTTTACTTAGGGGAGAATCTGTCTTTAAATAAAAAAATTTTCTATCATTCCATATATGTACACATATCGATCGTTAAATTAAACAATCTAGTAGTTATTCCGGACTGCTTATTGTACAACAAGGAAAAAAACACAAAACAACGAAGTTGATTTAGTGATGATCAAACTTCTGCAAAAGAAAATTTCATCGAAACCACGTATTACAGTATTGCAGTATTGCAGTATTATAAATGTGTATATATACATCAGAAGAATCATTATTTCATCAGAAGAATCATTATTTAATTTAGAACTATAATCATTTCAGCTTATTATTGCAAACCTTTATTGTTGTATGTATATGTGGTTTCTCCTTTTGCAGAATATCCAAATAATTAGCTTCTAAAGTTACGAAGTCTGTTCTATATATAATCTCTACGGAAAAAATAAAACTTGGGTTTAGAAATAAACGTAGGAACACGTTGTACAATCATCATAGAATCATTATTTAACAACAGATGATAGTCGGTATTGGTTCATTAACAAATAATGTCTAAAAATATTGTTAACTGCACTAAAACTTTCGAATTGGTAATGACTCAAACCGGAAAAACTGATTTTTTGAGATTTATAGAAGTTGTCAACCAAAAAAGGACACAAAAGTGAGTTACACGACCTTACGTCACTTCGAACAACAATGGATCTATCTGGTGAGAATTGTTGGCGAAGCTGCATAATTATATATAGATATTGGGTGCGTAATATCAATCATTCATTAAAGTTTTTAGCGAATAATACATACTAAATTTGCTGGTGATCTGCAAGGTGCATCTGGGCATGATAGATCGGAAGTACTTCTGCGAGTGATACAATTCATTAAAGTTTTGAGCGAATAATAGATACTAAAATTTACCGGTGATCTACAAGGTGCATCTGGACGTTAGATAGGAAGTACGTACGTACGTACGTACGTACGTACTTCTGCGAGTGATACAAATCAAACAAAAATATATAAATATTGGATCATTCATTAAAGTTTTGAGCGAATAATGCTAAAATTTGCCGGTGATCTGCAAGGTGCATCTGGTGTTACGACAATGGAGAGCTTTATAACTGCTCTAACTCTGGTCGTAAGCATTAAAATTAGAGCACCAATTATTTATTATCACGCACAAGACACTAAAAGTACTAAATATATCAGCGATACAAGTATCTTCCTAACAAGTGTACCCGGTACACAAAGGGCTCTCTAAAATACCACTTCCTATTCCCGTTGAGGAAAAGAAGAACCTTTCCAAACTCTTTCTCTATTTACAAAGAATGTCTCTATTTATATACATGTTACTAGACTCAAATTGACTATATACAATTACGCAAATATGGGGTCTTTGCCTTGAAAATGACCTTACGGTATCATGTACCGTAAGGTCATTTTCAAGGCAAAGACCCCATATAGTTATAGCTTAATATAACAAACAATCTAAAGGTCTAATTAAAATAACCCTGCGACTATAAACTATAGCGTTACACAAAAGCTTATTTACAAATGTCACGTTATTTTTCGTCACACTGGACATGATAGATCGGAAGTACTTCCGCGAGTGATACAAATTATACAAAAGAAATTTAACATTAATTGATATTTTTAAGTATTAGGGTCAAAGGTTATAAGGAAAAATAATTGCGCCTAAATGATTAGCGTTTTATAGGCTGGAGCCTTAAATTTCCATCTCCGGCATTTTTATTTAGTATTGTAAAAATTGAAACCTTTTCTTAACTATATTTTTGCTTTTCGCACATGTCAGATAACAGAACACGTAGCGGATTTCTTGTTATAGGAAGAACATTTAAAGTTCTTATAACACTTGAGCGGAAAAGTTACTATAACTTGCCAGTCCAATTTTATACGCTATAGTGTGCGTAAATAAATCTAATCTCTAAACCTGGTGGTAAATACCTGAATGATTCAAATAACAGTTTAATAATCATTAGTTATTTCAAAACCTAAATAACTTTAGAAGGTCATTAAACATATGTTAGTTAATATTCTAAAACCTTTTAACCGATCAAAATTGGCTACCAAATAAAATTAAACTTTATAAAAATATAAATAATAATTGTAACTATATATTAAGGTCAAAATTTTACTTAATATTTATTTTTTAGATAAAATTATCAGTGATTTATTATTTTAAATAACTTAAGACATATATTAATTAATTTAATAAAATTTTAACTTTGATATTTAGTTATGATTATCAATTAGAAAAGTAATAAAGTTCTATAACTTTTATATAAGCAATTTAAACAATAAAATTGCTTAATCTGATCACTATTTAATGAGTTTGGTTATTTAAATCTTGATAAAATGATCAGGTTATTTATATTCTTGAAGCGAGTAATTTTAAATTGAATCTATTTAATGCAATCAATAGATATGTTTTATATTTTACCTTATTTATTTACTTAACTATTAATTTAATTAAAAAACTTTTTATATTAACTAATTAATGCAAAAAAAATGCAATTAAATAGTAAATATTTATAAGCTTTGAATTTAAATAGATTTTTTAAATACTTAGATTAATACTTACATATCAAATTAATATTAGCAGATTGAAATTAAATAGAAAATATTATTAACTTAAGATTATTTATTTTAAATGTTTAAACTAATAGACTAAATTAATACTAATAAAATAAAGCAAATACTATTGAACCTCCCAAAGCTAATCTTGTTAAAACTAATAATTTGTCAAATCTGATAAAAGCTTAATGCATTAATCTATTTCTGGTATATAAATTTAATAATATAATTTTTTATAATGCTTTCAAATCTGATAACCTTTTAATACTAATATAAAACCTGTCTATTATGCATATCAATTTGAAGAGGTTTATCAGTAGTAAATATTAACTAATCTAAATAGCTCACTTAAATTAGATTAATAAATAATTGTTAGTGAAATAATCATTAGAAAAGTAACTATAAGTCAAGTAAGAATCAATAAAGTTCAAGAGATACTAGATAAAAAATAGGGAATTATTTTTTATACCCCCAGATTTATTATTCATACCCCTCTGCAGATTTGACTTTTTTTTTAACTTTGAGTGAAGATATCTCAGTAACTACTAAACCAAACTCAATAAATTTTTTTTATTTAAATTCTATAGATTCATAGAATTCAAACAATAAAAAGTTTACTGAATTTGGCCTAGTAGTTGCTGAGATATCTTCACTCAATGTTTGAAAAAAATTATAATGTCTCAAAACAAACTATGCAAAATTTTTTTTAAACTTTGAGCGAAGATATCTCAGCAACTACTAATTCAAATTTGATGAACTTTTTTTTGTTTGAATGCTATAAACCTATAGAATTCAAATAAAAAATATTTATTGAAATTGACTTGGTAGTTGTTGAGATATCTTCGCTCAAAGTTTTAAAAAAATTCAAAACATCTATCAAAACAGAACTTTTTTCTAAACTTTGAACAAAAATATCTTGACAACCACCAAATCAAATTTGATAAACTTTTTTTTGTTTAAATTCTATGAAATCATAGAATTTAAACAAAAAAAAGTATATCAAATTTGGCTTGGTGGTTGTTGAGATATTTTCACTCAAAATTTAGAAAAAATTTTGGTACAGCTTCTGTTTTGATAGATGTTTTGAATTTTTTTAAATCTTTGAGTGAAGATATCTCAACAACTACCAAGTCAATTTCAATAAATATTTTTTATTTGAATTCTATAGGTTCATAGCATTCAAACAAAAAAAGTTCATCAAATTTGACTTAGTAGTTGCTGAGATATCTTTGCTCAAAGTATAATGAAAATTTTGCATAGTTTGTTTTGATAGACATTTTGATTTTTTTCAAACTTTGAGTGAAGATATCTCAGCAACTACTAGGCCAAATTCAGTAAAACTTTTTTTGTTTGAATTCTATGAATCTATAGAATTCAAATAAAAAAAAATTTATTAGGTTTGGATTGGTAGTCACTGAGATATCTTCACTCAAAGTTTAAAAAAAAGGTAAATCTGCAGAGGTATGAATAATAAATTTGGGGGTATAAAAAATAATCTCCTATTTATATAATAAACTTGACCAATTTGATCAGTTTAACTATTTGACCAATTTGACCAGACTAATTTGACCAGCAAATTTTTGCTTGACTATTGATTTACCTAATACTGGTTGTAATATAATATTTAAAAAATATAACAAACATATTTAGCTGTTAACTAAATTATATAACTAGTAAGAATATAGTTCTAGAACTATTTATAGTAATTTATATAAAACTTCTTTATATTTGATACTAGTTTTATAAATAATTAAGTTTATTAAAAAATATTAAAATTTTATTTTTTGAATATTAATGATGAAACCATATCTCTATCTAGAAATACTAATATTTTATAGTTATACAATATATAATTTTTATATCTTTATATAATATATAATATTTTTTCTTTTTTTGTATTTTTCTACTTATAGCTTAGATCTTTTTATTAAACTAAATTCTTGTAATATTAATATAATAGCTAATAAGTTTGTAATCACTAGCCTATAACTAATAAAAAAACTTTTTAATAAATTTTAAACCTAGAAAAAGACTAAGAACTACTGTGATAAATTATATCTAAGCATATATTGGATAAGCTTTTGTTTGAGTTTATTATTTATGATTATAACAAGAAGTTATTGTAGCTTGTCAAATGACTAAATCTAATAAACAAAGACAAAAAAAACCAAATTACAAAAAATATATATACATATATTTATTAGCAAGTTTATCAATTACCTATCTGACAGGTGGGTAAGTCCATTTACACGGAGGACCATACAGACGGTCAGACCAAACGTATATAGCAGACTATGGAACCCTTCGCAGCTGTGAGAACTGAGCTTAAAACGGTGAGCGCAACTACAGAAGGACATCTATCCAAATCATTACCAACATCATCTAACTCCTATGATTTGGAAATAT